AAAAATATTACTAAATTACTGCGTTCCAATTTCACTTCGTTTCAAAGTTCTCGGTGATATCAGTCACAAAATGTTACTATTAAAAGTGATTCCGTTACAATTTCATTTCGTTTCAAAATTTTTAACTTTGTCTAATTTCATCTCGGTGATATCAGTTTCAAGACATTACCAAGTAATCACATCACAAACGTCACTTCAAAGAGAAAAAAAGAAAATCACATTTATATCACACCCAAAAATTTAAGTAATTAATTAACCTTCTTACAATTGGCGCGACAACAGAACACTTTCCACCGAAATTCCACGTTGCAAGCTTATTATCTTCTCCAGGTCGAAACAATAGCGATATTTATTGACAGTATAGAAACTCGCGAGAAGCGCGTACCCTTATCAGAAAGCTCGTAAACCGAAAAAAGCGAGAAACCGAAAGTCGTAGGAAACCACCGGACGTCGTTTCGCAGAATCGTTCCTCCCAGACGAGTGAATGTTTCGACGAATCGATAATCTTGTTTATTTAAGATATTAAGTAACAAATAGGTATATGCCTGCCGCAAACTCGTTCACCTTATAACATTTTACAGTCGCATAAATATTCAACGAAACTCCTCGGCGAAGTTCTCCGTAACCGAACGGCGGGAAGTTGCTAAAATAAACGATGCGAACGAAAATAAGTACTCTCTTTTCTCTCTACCTGTTACGTTTTAAGCGGAAACACCGTGTGTACAAGATTCGAAACGAATCGTGAATGTGATAGACGATGTCGCGGGATCGTGATCGAAATACGCTCGTAGGAGAAGCCAATGGTGGAAAAGGTGACGCGGGTTTATTCTAAACGCGATAAATAAACAGTTCGATTGATCGATTGTTCCTGTTGTTTGCGTAACGAGAACTGCAGTCTGGTAACAATCGAAACACACCTTGCCCTCGCGGTTACGTCAACGTCGCTTGTCATTTAGACGTTAAACCATTGTCGCCCGAGCAAAGTGTGTTTCCCTTTAATAGATCGCGACGAACAAAACTGTACGTCCGATCGAACGGATCGAGTTTTACGTAATATCGTCAGTTTCGTAAAGTTCGTCAGTTTTTCGTGTGTTCGTGGTAGAATAAGAATGAACAAGAATGTATTTTACTGGTGGTTGAAGGAAAGTAAGGAATATGGAAGTAATTGATCATTTCTACTCTACAAATTTCGACGTCAATTCAAATTTCTTAGTAATTACTTGTATATTTTATACTGGGTCAATGGAAAATAAAAAAAAAATGTTAAAGTAATTCGAATGCAATTGGAAAATTGATCGTTTCTTTTCTGCAAGTTTCGACGTCAATTCTACTTTTTTAGTAATTGCTTGAATATTTCATACGGGATGAGGGAAAAATAAAAAATGTCGAAGTAATTCGAACGCTAGGGTAAAATTGATCATTTCTTTTCTGCAAGTTTCGACGTCAATTCTACTTTTTTAGTTATTATTTGAATATTTTATACCGAATGAATGAAAAATGAGAAATATCGAAGTAATTGGGGTGCAAGTGTAAAATGGGCAAATTTGCACACCAATTCTGATTTTTTAATAATTATTTGCATATTTTACACGATGCGGATGGGAAATAAAAAATATCGAAGTGATTGGAACGACAGTGTAGTATTGATAATTTCTTTTTGGTAAATTTACACGTCAGTTCAGATTTCTTAGTAATTATTTGAATATTTCGTACTGGGTGGATGAAAAATAAGAAATGTTAAAGTTTCCTTTCCCCAAATTTTCAGTAACGATTCAAATGCGAAAATATTCGATCAGAAATCTCGTACAATAGCATATCACTACGAAACATCGCGAAACAACGTCTCCTATTTTCTCACTTATATCAGACTCCCGTTTCTTGAAAAATAATTAACATCTCTTTACCTGTTTGTCGACGATAAATTCTGCGGAAGACGGCAACAGATTCTCTCGCACGCCCCGATTTTTACAAAAATGATCGTCGAAACGTGTCGCGATAACGTGCACAATACGAAACTCAAGTGTTAAACATGTCCAATAGCAATTTGCGAAAAACTATTTGATTAATATCGACGATAATGCACACCGTCTACCGTATATACGAATTCAACGCGAAGACGTTCAAAACTATCCAGCCTTAAAGTGTTATCAATTCGTGATTGTTATGTAACGTTTATTAAGGATGTCGATAGGTGTTTGTAATTAACAGGAACTTTGAGGAGTGCAAAGAAGCACGAGACCGATGATGGGGCGTGTTGAATCAGAATGGTAATTTATGGCGGCCTTTGTGCGCGATCCGACGATTATTATTAAGATAAAAGTCGTATAATGAAGGCCTTCGGTGCATAAAAAGGAAAAATGTAGGTGTAGATCGCGTACAATGTTCTACTTTTTCGAAACACCGGGACATCTTTATGACAGGGAGCGCGTCTGCATTTTAAATCGGGCGACGCGACGCGACGCGACGCGAGAAATTTGGGACGTTGATTCATATCGATTAATCGGGGATGAGATTTTGCACGGGCGCGTACCTTTGCGCCGGTAAATTGAAGACGCTCTCTGTACGCTATCAAAGACTGGTAGGTTTAACGACAGATTTTATATAGTTCTAGAGTAATTATTTTTCCTTTCTTTTTTTTCTTTTTACTTTCGTCGTGTAAATCTTCAATTATAGTTCTGTAGTAGTTTTCTCTTTGGACGCTAATGTAGGTTCGTTTATTAGTTGGTATTAAATGATGTAGAAAGTAAATTGGATGGTAGAAAAAAGAATTAAGAGGTCTTTTTACATAATTTATAGAGTGAACATTTTTTTTTTTTTTTTATTCAGAAGTACTTATTGAGAAGTGGATTAGCGTAAATCTTGTGTATTGGTTTTATCCGTATTCTAAGGTAGTATAGATCGCTAAAAATTTCTAAAATTAACTTGGAAGCGTCTAACACGGTTTGCAGACTAAACAGCCAATCAACAGTTCATTACATTGGAAATACATCCGACACTTGCTTCCTAATAGTGATTTTCTAACAGCTGCCAGATACTGGGTTTAAATTCCAGACTGAATTAAATGAGATACAAAATTCGATGCGGCTCGCAATAACAGTTATTGAGGATCCTGTATGAATGAAACAATAGACAAAAACACTATTTTTATATGCGGATATTCGTTTCTTGCCCAAACTTCTTCTGTACTATAATCTCTTTCCTATACTTTTCAAAATTGATGCAATAGAAATAAGTAGTGCAGAAGATAAAAAGAATAATACAAATCAAAAAATGAACAAAAACACTATTCCTGTATATGGATTCTCAGTTCTTTTTCAAACTTCTCCCAGATAATAATTTCTCACTCAAATTTCTTCCGAATTATAATTTCTCTTCCAAACTTTCCGAAATTAATTGAATAGAAATAACCAGTACAGAAGATAAAAAGAATAATGCAAATCGAACAATAGACAAAAACACCATTTCCATATATGGACATTTATTTCTCTCCCAAACGTCTTCCGTATTACAATCTCTCTTCTATGCTTCTTAAAATTGATCCAATAGAAATAAAGAGTACAAAAGATAAAAAGTATAATGGACAAAAACACTATTTTTGTATATGGATACTCGTTTCTCCCAAACTTCTTCTAAATCATAACCTCTTCTCCGCACTTATAAAAATTGATCCAATAAAAATAAAAAATGTATAAGCTAAACAGAATAATACAAATCAATAAACGTACAAAAACACTATTTCCGTATATGGATACTCGTTTCTCCCAAACTTCTTCTAAATCATAACCTCTTCTCCGCACTTATAAAAATTGATCCAATAAAAATAAAAAATGTATAAGCTAAACAGAATAATACAAATCAATAAACGTACAAAAACACTATTTCCGTATATGGATACTCGTTTCTCCCAAACTTCGTCTAAATCACAACCTCTTCTCCGCTCTTCTAGAAATTGATCCAATAAAAATAACAAGTGCAGATAAAAAGTATAATGGACAAAAACACTATTTTTGTATATGGATACTCGTTTCTCCCAAACTTCTTCTAAATCATAACCTCTTCTCCGCACTTATAAAAATTGATCCAATAAAAATAAAAAATGTATAAGCTAAAAAGAATAATACAAATCAATAAACGTACAAAAACACTATTTCCGTATATGGATACTCGTTTCTCCTAAACTTCGTCTAAATCACAATCTCTTCTCCATACTTCTAAAAATTGATCCAACAGAAACAAAGTATGCAAAAGATAAAAAGAACAATAGACAAAAACACTATTCCCATACACAAATACCCATTTCTCTCCCAAACATCTGAAAATTGATCGACCAGAAAGAAGTACGTAGTACCGCAGATAAAAAACGCAGGAAATAAGGAAAATGAGACTCACCAGTGACGGACTGCGTTTGAAGCAATAGTCCGATCAACGAAACCAGGAAGTAAGTATTGCATCGGGGTGGCACGATACCCCGTCGCAGGGTCGTCATCTCAGGCGGCCCCCGCCAGGTGCCCCCTCGAGCTGCCGCCGCCCCTGCGACCGCCTTCGGCAGCTTTGGCTTCTTAACTTCCGCCTTCGCTCCCGCCAGCTCCACGCCGCGTAGTCCTCGTGCTTCACATCTCATCTGCCACGCTTGCTGCTGTCTCTTCTTCTTCTTCTTCTTCTCTGTGCGGCGGTGGCGACCGTGTTTTTCCCCGAATCTCGTCCGTAACGTTTTACCACGTATCGGACCGCCACCTCCTCCTCCTCGTCGGTCTCCTCGTCATTTAACACACCGTTTCGCTGAAACGTTCGATCGTTTACGCGCACGATCCCCAGGCCGCGAGTCGTGTGGCGGCTCCTTTCG